AAAATCACGTAAATCATCAGGGTTGCGGGTCTATATAACATATCCAACTCCCATCATATGTTCAATAAAATTTAAAAAATCACCAGTAAATCCTGCAGACAATATGGTCAGAGTTAATTTAAGCAAACAGGTTTATCATAAAAAGAATATAAAAAGAATACTTTCCTTTAAATCATATTATAAATATATCATCCAGAACTACTGACTCAACTTTCCTCATGCGGTTAGAAATAAAATCAACATAGTTAAGAAAAAACACCTGCCACAGTACCTTCTTATATTATATGACCTGTATTCACAGCATAATCCCATGCACAAATACTCATGTTAGTTACTAATACCTGATCACTTCTGATTGTGTTTTCATATTCAATTTGTTAATATTACAAATAATAAAAAAATAAAGAAATAAATATAATTTTGGTAAATAAATGTTAGATTACATGCCAAAATGATAGTTAATGCATGAACCAATTTATCCCTAAGACTGAAAGATACTTACCAAAAATTTGGCAACTCGTGCATACCATTGCTGCAAGCATATATAGCCATTTTCAAGTCATTAAAGAATCCTTTTAATTAAAATCAAAGTCAATTTCTCCACTAATTTTATCAGATCTTTTTGGTCACATGCAATTAAACCACATATAATATCCTTTTTTGCATTATTTAACCATCCTCTTCCATTTCATGCTGTAAAAACTTGTTTCTTGTGACAGGAAGAAATGGACTAGATAAAAAAGGTATCGCAAGAAATGACAAGATAAATAATTATAACTGTGAAATAGTCTTTTTCACAAGTTAAAACGCTATGGTGGCAGAGATGTGACTCAAGGTAATTGAGATCATTATCAGCCAAATACTTTAAGGACTTATTCCCAATGAAGCTTGACAGGGACTCTTGCTGAATGCAATAAGATTAACACGCCTCCTTGTTTCCAACATAGTCATATAATCACCAGCTTTTCTCTATTTACTCAATGCCAAGAGGTATGTTAACTTTTTAAATGTTGTTTAACTGATTACATTCAGCATGAGTTGGATAGATCTCATATAAAAAGATAATTCCATTGGGAATGGGCCCTAAGGAGGAGGAGGAGGAGGAGGAGGAGGGAAGGCCAGTTGACAGGGGTAGATTGAGGCCGTCTTCTCGCTCTTCCAGAAGACGGCCATACTTTCAAATTTACACTGACGGGTATCTAATTTTTTGTTTTATTTTTGGAAGACGGTCAAAAATGGAGAATGGATCAACAAAGATAATTTGGAAGACTGTCACAAAATATCTCTGGATTCGCCCCTGGTTGATATGGCTTTCTTCCCATTGGTGGATGTTTTGGGTGAAACCAGGAAATTTCACCAATCTATCAAAATAGCAAAGCTGATTGTGACTAAAAATAAAGAGGAGAAAAAGTAAAGTTTAATGGAGAAAATTAGATTACATGTAACATAAGCTTTATAATGTTTTTTTTTCTATTCTTAACATGTCACCAATGGGTGCCACTTGGTAACAGCTTCTGTTTAAAACTTTATAAGAAACTGTAAAGTTACACCTTACAACATCATGAAGATGTGTTGAGTGTCCATGTTGTAATTATCTATAGATCAAATCTTTCAAGCTTCATCTCCCAGGGAATGTGAGTTAACTGTTTCTATTGATTCTATGAAAGCACTTTAGCTTTCCAGACACTGCAGCAGGCTAATGATTCAAACTGTAGTGACAGCAAGTGTTAAATGTTGCTTTCAATAGACATTCCTTTTACATAATAAAAACAAAGAAAAAGAAACACAGATCAAATAATCATGCAAGTTTGATTAGAAAACAATGACATGTGTGTTTAGGCAGTGAAACCAAGTTTAATGTATCTCGTGGGTTGATTAGCTTTTCTTTTTTACTTTTTTTTTCACATCTGTGTTCTACCAACTGAAGAGTGAAAAACTATCCTGCAGTAGCTTGCTTTTTCACAAGCTTGGATAAATAAAACAATGGGCTGTTGTCACAAACCATATTTTTTTGTTGAAACTTAAAACAAGATCTAGAGCATACCAGCAAAAGTTTACTCAAAAATTTAGATCTAATTCAAGGCTGAAATAATAACAAAATGCAGGGCCTGTTCACTGCATATGAGAGAATACGTTTCATGCCCGTATGGGGTTAGCTTCATTTTAGTTTTATAATTGAAAACTTGTTGCAGACTAATCAATTTTCTTTCCTGTGCATTCCGTAACCATGCCTCTCTTACCTGACTATCTACAATGGTAATTCCACTGTCTTGCTCCTCCATTTCCTTTACATTGATGTCTGCATTCAAGTTATTCAAGGCAGTGTCACTAGCGAACCTTCCTTTTATCATCGCATCAGCACCTCCGGCAGGTTTATCACGGCTTAAATTGTTCCCAGTATAAATCTCAGAGGGATCAATAGACTCAGCAGTTCTTACTGGCACAGTACTTTCAAGAGCTGGTTTCCCGAGATCTGTCCTACTGTTACTGTGTAAATGTCGTTTCAAGTCATGGTCCGAGACGTTAGGCTGGCTCTGGGAAAACTGCTTGCCTAGTTTTTTAGGCTTTGTTTTGTCTTTGTCTTTGTATCCAGGGCGCAGTTTCTTGAAACTGCTCCAGATTCTTTGCCTTTTGCTTTTTTTCAGCGGAGATGCTCTGTCTTCGAAACCATTAATTCCTCCTTGCTCATTTTCTGGAGAACCTAGAAAGATGGACAGTAAATAGTTCTTCTTAATGAATTGAATCAGATATGAAATAATGCCAAATTGAAATACAATTAACCTTTTGAGATTCAAGGTTAATCCATAAACATATATACGTGAACATCACCAGGCTGCTTTCATGTTGAGATCGTCCTTTTAATTATTCAGTCCATGTCCTTCACTACAATGCCTGTCTTATCTTGGCAGGGCATCTACCCATCACTGGCTATTACTTGTATAAATGAAGACTGCTGCAGTGATAACAATGGGTTGGTATTCTGGTTTGACAAAGTGGAAAGCAAATTTTATTTTGCAATTAAACGTTTTTCTAAAAAGGTGGACCTTTTACCATGAAACCTTCATGTGCCTAGATCAAATTTTATCCAGAGGGGAACTTTTCCCAGCAAAAAAGGAGGTTCTTCAAACCCTTCCATCCGTCCCTGGCTACAAGCCTAACATCTTAAGGTGCTTTATAGGTATAAAGTATAGGATTCTTATAGGATTTGTGATGCCATGGCTTGAACAGAGCATATTCTTCAGAAAACATAGCCAACTAAAGATTTCTTTATCAAAATACACAAACTGGAAGTTCATTTTAAAGGCTTTTAAATGCACCCTTTTGGCTAGGTCTATTATAGGTCTTCCCATGTTATTTGGCCATTCTGAGGTCATTAAAGGTTAGAGGCACTTACAAAACAAGTAGTAAGTAATCAAAAATATCCACCTTACCTTTACACCTGCACTAAGGTAAATATATACCAAAACACTACTTAACCAATGCCTCCATTTTTCATATTTACTGTTGACATTTTACTGTTGACATATTCTGTTACTACTGGTATACAAGGATGCAGCTAGGTAAATGCTAGTATGAAAGCTGCTGTGGAAAAATTTAAATAAAACAACAAATTTAAAGCTAATTACTTACAAATACCAGAATCAGAAAACCTCTTGAGGTGCTGCATTTTTTCAGGACCTGTAACAAATTGGGATTCATCCCAGTGCTTCTTTTCCCTATAGCTTGAGTACAATCTTCTAGCCATTGTGCCTTTTCAAGCTTGGTACATCAATAACCTTGCGCGCGTTATACGTCACAGGTCTTGCGTAACTACCCACGTGCTACGATTTTTCCCTTGGGGGGGCAGCAAGCGGCCATTTTGTACAGGAGCAATGTATAGATGGGTGAAAACGATACGTTGTTTTTAACCAAAAACGATGTCCCCGGGGCGAAACTGCCAACACCAAAAGTAAAGGAGCATACCA